TTACCTAATTATGATTTCAATAATATTATGTTTTTGGACTAGCTGCCAGAAGTGAAGATACTGTATTCGCAAAAATTTGCATTGCTGCATGTGTGGTTTCTTTGATGCATGCTATTCGTGATATTCGGTTTGAATTCAATTATTCAGGAGGTCAATTTTGGTTTCTTCAGTGGTTATCTTTAGCCAATCCAGTTTTGCCGACTGAGATAACAATTTGCCGATTAGCTGACGAGTGGGGCGGGGGGGGTGTTCCCCCCCCCCCTCCCCCCCCCACACACACACACACCCTGTAGCGCCGCCCCTGTTTTGACCAATTAATAAGCATGTTTTGGTTTTAGAAATTGATATTCAAATTCCCCGTCATATTTTCATAATTTGGTGCATGCGCAGACGTTTTTCCGCGGTGTTCACTTCGCCGGGTAGTTGAATTCGTTTCTACTCCGTTGCGAAATGGAAATAGCAAAGCCAATCAAATGCTTGTGTTTTGGATGACAAAATACTGAAAATAGCGAAACCAATCAAATGCTTGCGTTTTGGCGAATTTTTTCTCTGCTGTACTGTTTTAACTGTTTTGTGGGCCTTACATGAAGTACTTACCGTACTTTGGCACAGGAACCGCTGTTGAGTTTCGTTGACCTTGGCACAGAGTATACAGAGGCGGAACTCGCGGCGATTCCTTTGTTCTTTGTGTCCCCGTGCCACGTCATTTCCACGCGCCACGCAAATTGCTCTGGCAAGTGTCATTCGTCGTGTTTTCAGTCAAAAGCATAGGAAAAACACCGTTCGAAAGTAGAAAAATAAATATTTTTGCGAAGTTGCTCCACCGATCTTCATTTTGGGACTCAAATTTGAAAGATAAATGGTAAGTGGTTATTTTCATGTAAAAAGATGTACGTTTATAGGCTAAATACAAAGAAAAAAATAGTATAATCTTTGTACCGCATGGCTGTTACATATTTGTTTTGTTATTCTGACGTATGTTATTTAAGTCTTGTAATTACGTCATACAATGCGTTCGCGCCAAATATATGTTTTTATATTCTCTGTCTTAAAAACGTGTGTATTCAAACAGAACATGGTGTCAGGAAGGGATTTTCGCTGCTAAAGTTTGTTTATAACCGAATTTTTATATATCTAATCGTTTGATCGTTCTTCGTTGACGTTGTGTCTCGCTTTGCCTCGAAATTTGGTAGATTTTACTTGGATTTGATCGTCATTTATGGATAAGCTTCAACCACCGCCGCCATTTTCCTTTGAAGGAAACGTATCTCATGGCTGGAAAATATGGGAAAAACACTTCAATTTTTATCTCACTGCTACTGAATCAGATTCAAAGAGCGATAAAGTGAAAACCTCCATTCTCTTAACCTGCATTGGACCCAAAGGACGCGAAATTTACGAGACATTTACCTTCTCACAAGAAACTGACAAGCTGAAACTCAAGGTCGTATTAGAAAAATTCAGTGCATATTGTAATCCTAGAAAGAATATCACTATACTTCGCCATCAATTCTTTACCTACAGCCAACACGAAGGTCAGTCTTTCAACGATTTCGTCATAGAACTTAAGAAACGAGCCTCTGAGTGTGAATTTGAGACTTTAGCTGATTCACTGATTAAGGACATGATTGTTTGTGGGGTAGCTGATCAATCCCTCCGTGAAAGACTCTTACGCGATGCGGATTTAACCCTTGCCAAGGCCATTGATGCCGGTATTGCTGCAGAGGAAACCAAGCGTCACGCAAAAGAACTCGAAAAACATCAACAATCGTCAGATATTCACCAAGTTTATCATTCAAAAGAAAGAAAACTCAAAGAATCTAGCAGAGCCCCTGATGACGTCATCAAGAAATATAAGTTTTGTAATGGCTCCCACCAACGTGGCAACTGTCCTGCCTACGGGAAACGGTGTAGAACATGCAACCGTAAGAATCATTTCGCTGTTTGCTGTTCCCAAAAATCTGTCAAATGTGTTACTGAGCAGGATAAGTCCTCTGATGATGAATTTTTCATCGATATGGTTAAAGTCACTGATACCAATCAGAATCTCTCAACTGAAGGTGATGGTGAAAACACCCCAATTCCCAAATCCATGCCAACCAATGCTAGTCCCAATGTTTTCACAGTTAACAATACCAAATCAGATTGGTCTGTCACACTGGGCGTGAATGGAACTGATGTCAATTTCAAGATAGATACTGGAGCCCAGTGCAATGTAATTCCAAAGCGCCTACTTTCCAACCTCTCACCTAGACCTAAGCTCAAAACAGCAAACGTCCAGCTCTCTGCATATAATGGCACAACTATCCCTGTTGCTGGTAAGTGCATTGCTCAAGTCAAACACAGGAGACAAACAATTCCCATTCTCTTCATGGTTGTAGATTCAGACTCAGTCCCCATACTAGGATTAAATACATGTGACAAACTGAACTTGATCAAACAAGTGTATCAAATTTCAGAGGAAGTGCAATCTCATACTCCTATTGAGGAGGAATTCTCTGACTGTTTTGGAGAAATTGGATGTTTGAAGAGAACACATCACATCGAACTAAGAGATGATGTGAAACCTGTAATCATTCCTGTCAGACAAGTACCCTTTGCTCTAAAGCCAAAGCTCAAAGAGGAATTGCAACGTATGGTTGAGCTCAATGTTATTGAACCAGTCGAAAACCCAACCGAATGGGTCAACGCCTTAGTCATTGTCTCCAAACCAAATGGCAAGCTGCGGATATGCTTAGATCCTCGACCCCTAAATAAAGCCATAAAGAGGCAACACCACCGTCTACCCACCACCGAAGAAATAATCTCTGAAATGTCAGGTGCTCGGTACTTTTCCAAGCTTGAT